TTTAGTTTAAAAAAAAAAATACATGGGGACCGAATCAAAAACACCGATTTATCTCGAAAATGAAACAAAAATTACAGGATATGAAGTACTGTATGTCATGGTGGGAGGTATTTGACCATGACGTGATTTTGAAACATCCTGCAAAGGTTACGTCACAATTCTTAAATAGAACCCGATATTTTCTATTCCATATTTTTGAAGCCGACATTCAGACGTTTCCAAACCGTAGACATGAAACTTTTCATGTAACCCGTTATCGAGATATCAGCATCCAAAGTTGCCGGTTTGTCAGTAGTGATGGTGGCCCACGAATATATACATAATAAACATTTAATGTTTATTTAAGATGTCACATGTAAGTACCGTAAGTTACGCGAGAGTTGGCAAGCGGGACGGCACACAATTGTCCGGATCGGCAAAGTAGGAGACATTTTGCGAAAAAATCAACTTTCTGAAATTGATATTTACTGAAAATATTTTGGTTCTTAAATGTCTATAAACTTCGGGAAAGAAAATATTTGTGAAATTTCCTGCGACAGAATGGCGCTGATATGTTTTGAAAATCGAGTGTCCGTGCATGAAGGGTGTGAATGCTCGATTGTCTGCACGTGTGATTGGTGTCACCTTGGGAAATCGAGTGACTGAGTTCATAGAATTTCGAATAGCTGAAAGAATGCGAGGCAGAGCGAATGAACCGTGAGAAGGCAGCGATAACGAGCGTGAACGTGATTGCGTGAATATTGCCTATGGTTGCTAGGTCAGGGCGCATGTAGAAAAGGATGCGAATGAAAACGAATAATTTATAAATCCAAAAAAATCCCAGGATCAAACAAATTAGAATATATTTAGCATAGTTTCCTTTACTAGATTATGAAAGAATCATTTCCTATCTCGTCCCAAATCCTAAGTTATCAACATTCAAAGTTACACAAAGACATTGATTTGACACTGAGTTTTAGATACTCTGTCAACTATACAGACTATTCTGGTAAGAATATTATACGATAGTGTTTAAACATTTGGTAAAATTTCAGTACATCCCAGCAGTATCTGACTTCAATAAAACCATTAAATATTATAAGAAGTACACATTTTGAACAACTTTTTCCTTTGAAAAAAAAATGTCGCTGACATTTAGTTTCTGAGATAATCGTGAAAAACGTTTGCTACCACTGCATTGAATTTGTTATACGTGAGCACTGATGAGTCATACGTGAAGTACAGGATATACAACAAGTAATGTACAATTTTGTCAAACGGTCTTGGGGTCCTAAGATCCTAGGTCCCCTTACCGTTTTTATGTCACGCCCTGTCATATCGACTAAGGCTGGTTTTGCATGGCAGCGCTATAAGTGATGGGAATTAGAATCAAAAATATTAAAATTTTAAATGACAGTAGGGTCACAGCCGAGGTATATGATAGACATTGCAAGCTTATGATACTTGGTATCACATGTTCTGAATTACCGACTGTGTAAAAATCAGAGGTTTTGCTCTGCCCTCTATACCTAAAGAACGGTCAATAGGTAAACTTTTATGTCAATAGAAAGTATTTTATGAGTATGTCATATAGTCCATACACTAACGTCTTAAAGTTATTAATACATGGTTTTAAATATAAACGATTTATATTTTATAAAACATTTTAAAAAATAATTCACCAACCTAAATTTTCAAATCACTTTTAAAATAATTTGTTACAGTTCCAACACATGTATGTCACAAGAACTGTAATTGAGATGCATTATTATAATCATAAGCAAATGATAACATTGTAGAGTATATATGTAAGTGTGTTTAACTTCGTCCAGTTTGACTTAATTTCCAGTTTATATCGGTTATATCCAGCCAGGAAATTTTGTAGAATAGCATGCAACTTAGATATACTAAGTAGGCTGCTTCTCACTTCTGATCCTCTGATAACAAGTATTAGACCACTCCCGAAAACAAAAATCGAAGCCATTTTTAAAAGATACCCTGGAAATGCTTTTGCTAGGTGAATATCAAGACGAAGGAACTGTTTCGTTAGAAAAATCTTCCTGAGAAGAGATGTGGATATCGTTTTCCGATAATGAGTAATTCAATATAATGAAAGAAAAAATTATTCTAAAAAATTATTGATAAACCATACTCGTCATCTTGTGTGTCTCGTCTCATTTCCTGCAGTTATCCCAGGTGAATCGAGTAGCACGGTACTTGCAGTTACCCTGGGTGAATTGAGTAGCTC